AAATCGTTGTCCCATGTTACCTTTAGTAGCACTGAGTGATGAAATCACTATGCTGCCTTTGGGGCCACTTTGTGTTTGTTGCTTTGTGTTGTGCTGCATTGTCGAATATAGTTTAGTTGGATGAATCTTATTCCAATATAATTGCTAGCTCCAAAAATGATGCTTATATAACCCACATTAAAATATGCAATGCCAAACGGATATACGTTGTAACTGTGCTACTTCATGAAGATTACGGAAAATGCTTCACCATGAAGAAGAAACAATAGACAGCCGGGAAACTATTGTTCAAGCTTTGGGAGATTTACAAGCCCAAGCCGAAGTTGCTCTATGCTTCTGCTGCGTTAAACATTAATTGTAAGTATCTTTATGCCCTCCTTTTCCTACATGTTTTTTTTTTCTGGAAGCAGAACAGTGTACCGTTCTGAATTGTTGACAGGCATCTCTGAATTAGTGTACTGATGGAATATGGCTTCAGTGATTATAGAAGGGTGTCAGGCATGCATGCTGAGTTGCTGACCTGTTGATGAAAGTTCTGGCGGACATAGATTTGTGGATTGAATTTTGATAGATATTCTCTTGCTGCCTTTTTTGTCAGGCTAGGATTAGTCTGTAGATGTCAGCATAGGGCATTGTGCATTTCCAAACTGGTCTATCGGTAGCAAGCCAGCGTGTCAGCATATTGATAGCATCCGTTTTCAGATGAATATATGGATTACCGAGGAATGTAGGAAACTGTTGTAACAACCATGTTATTGTGATATTAAATGAAGTTCTGTAATCCATAATACTATGAGCCTTACCATTTACAGTTGAAAAAAATGTAGCAAAGCTAAAGTGTATACAAGCATAGATACTGAATTCCGTTACTCTTGGATATACAGAGAAAAGGAGGAAACTGTGTTATAATAATCAAATATGGCCCTTGCCATTTGCACTAGAGGAAACTGTGTTCATGCTTCAGTGGTTTAATTTTATTATAGCTCCAGGGGAAGAAAATTGTTTTGGGAATCAACATGGTGCTTTCGAAACAACTTTTGTTATGTGTTTCACCTATGATATGTTTGTATGACCCAATGGTATTATGCTGTCGAATCAGTTATCATTTTCATGTGCCTAGTAACATTAAAAGAAAGTACACGTTCAATTTCAATTAGATTATATATGACCCAATGGTATTATGGAAGCACCTTGGCCTCAAATTGAGGAGCCACTGCTGATCTCAGAAGAGGTAAAACATAAAGAAAGAATTTTAGCCGCTGCTGACGCAAGTGCGAATGATAATTGACACGTGAACCTGATCCTGTTGCAGCCGAGTACCTGATGAATCACAAATATACGGGCAGCTAGTTTGTTGATCCCAAACTGTTCTTGATGGACAGAAGCTCAGAGCTGAATTCATTAATTTATTTATGGCTAGACCAGGATGTATGGCTGCTTGTTGCTTTCACTCAATCTTCAAGTGGGTTTGTTGTATAATACAAAATTGGGTGTAGTTCTGGAGTCAACTATGTGGCTTTCTTACCTTCAGTGACAGAAATATTAGTTACCTGTTGGCTTGTTTCAATGAAGAACAAATTGGTGGTAGGAGAGAGATGAACGTAGATGGGAGCATGATTGGTCGAGTTGTTTGCCATCACTTATATTGTAAGAAATATTTTCGATACCTTTATAAAAGTAATGCCATGTGCATTATAGCAGACATCTCAATGCTAGTGTGAACCGATAATGGAAATTCAAGTAGCCTGAGATGATTCAATAATTTCTGCAGGAATGAACACAGATGTAAATGTGTGATAAATTCTCGAAACTAAGTCCGCCACGTCTAGTCGGCTGCTTGACCATAATCGATTGAACACACCGATTAAGAGCTCCAACATACCAACCTCATGGACTTAGGGTATGTTTAGGATTGCTCAACAAACTCTGATCCACAAATACCTAAAAAAGTGTTCCAAAAACTTCATTTTCTTTTCTAGAGCAGAGTTCGTGGGGCTGCACCTATTTAGCTGAAAAACATGGTGTGGAGCTGTCTCAAACGGGCCTAAGGCAGAAACATTATATGAGTTGCTTAATTTATTTACATGACCATGACTGTTCCAACAAAGTGAATCACTGGTCAGTATGCATGCAGGAGCTCTGTCCCCAACTCATTCACATTGATGAGGTTGAACAAATCTAGTTGGTTTGTACAAGTGTATCATTCACACATGAACCAAACCACCGCATAAGTTGGTGTGAACCCAGTTGTTTATACCATAACATAACTTGCATGGTCAGTTGTCGACATGTATTTTGGTTAGCTCGATAGTTTTCTTAGTATCCTTTTTTATCCTTTGGTCACTGGTTGGTTGTCCCTCTCAGTTCAACGTTGCCTTTGAACAAGAATGGTTCTAACTAAGGCTTCTCCTTGCTCCTCCTTTTGAGTCAGCCTACTACTATAAATATAATGACAATGGTAACCTTCGAAGCCCAGAAAGTAACCTCAACTTATTTTGTTGATAAAAGGAAAAAAAGGTCATTTCAGCTAAAAAAGTAGATAATTGCACCTAACAAATAGAGAAAACCACCCGGGTTCAAGTCCTAGACTTGACACGGATGCTCGCATTTTTCTGGATTTATTCCAGGATTTAACGGCACTATGCTTTCAGTGTTAGGCGATGCCTCCGTCGACAGCAAAGCGCTTATGGTGACTTCGTGAATCTCGTGATCTGTCGGCTCAGTCATTCGGAGGTGCTCATAGAGGTAGAGTTTACGTACGTGTGTTCATAAGGGTGAGTGTGCGTGCATGTTGTGGACGTTTACGTTGTACTGTGTAATTCTAAAAAAAAACTATGCATTTGAATTTACCACCTGAAGCAACATATATATTTATTATAATTCTAGTGCACAGTATTTCCCTTTTTGGCCTGCTAAACAGCTGTACAATTGATTTTCTATTGTTATCTAGCAAATTAAAATTAATTTGTTTTTGTTATTGAGTTAATTATTAAGAGCTAGAATAATTTCAGTTATATGGTGTTAGCTAATAACTAGTGCTATTGGTTTTGCCATCTGACAAATGCTAAATTATTGTACTTGCACAATACTGACTTGCGAGCCTCTGAACTGTCACAGTTTTACCAGACACGAAACTACTTGGCGCAACAACACTTCATTCATGTAGTCCTTTGTTCAACTCCATACCACTTTTTGCAATAAACAATACTTCAGGAAACACTTGTTCACTATCACAAGCTAAAGCTACATTCTTAGAAAGCCAAGTGATCGATGCTTACAGTGTGAGACTCTTAAGCTTGGATTTGGTAACCATAAATGACTTTTCTATTACCAGTAGTTGAGAGGGTGCTTTCATGTTTCAATGGTTATCATGATCTTATCTGGGAGAAAGGAACACATAATTGTCAAAGTAACTTTTTTCGATAAAAAGATTGTCAAAGTAACTATTAAATAATATTTTATTCTTCACAATACATTCTAATAGGTGTAAGTACTCGACATGACAAACAAATATACATCAAAACTTTGGTTTTTTTTCCTTTAAAGACTCCCCATACATTTGTTTGTTGTGTATTGAGGCCTGAACAAATGATAAACCAATCATAATCCTAATGCCAAATGCTTACATGTGGGCCCACTAGTAATAAAATCACAAAGTTACAGCATCAGCATCATTAACTCCCTTTTAAACGATAGTGTAACCAATGCAAAAAAAGAAATGAAAATAAATGCATTTATACCAACAACAATAATTATGTTAAACTTAGTTAAGTATTTGTTGTGCGTGCCACTTATTTTGCTACTATATATATTAGTGTGTCGGCTCTTGTTTATTTGTTGCGCAACTTGTCTAATGCAAACTCACATTCAGATAATTTTGTTTCCCTCATTTTTGTTCCTTATTATTAAATGCATCCTCTTTCCTTTTCTTTTCTTTCACAAATCATGTTTGTTGAAACTTGTATTTTGATAAGGCTTGAGGGTGCAACCACCTTCGATTCCTCAAATTAAAGAGCCTAGTGCTTGCATGCTCATCCTAATTACTTGGATTACTACTATTTATATAATCATGGTTGTAACGGAAGAAGGGAGCTGCAATACATATCAAAATTAAATTAAGAACGTTTTCTAGTTGTAACTTTTGCAGCATTCGGAAAAGTTTGTAATATAACAAATTAACAGCAGAGTGAAATGAACAAACTTACTAGGGATTGCTAGCTTATACTAGATTATAAATAAACACAAAAGTAATCCCTTGATATGTATGCGTGTACATTAATTATTAGCATGCTAGTCCGATGAAATTAAAGACACGTACTGCTATATATTTTACTACTGGCGCTCAAAATATTATTGATAAATATGTAGCTAGTAGCTCCCATGGGAAAAGACGATGTTATCGATCGATCTGTCCTGAGGAAATTGTGCAGAAATGGACAAGAACATAAAGAGGATGACGCTGATGACCCATGAGTCGTAGATGCAGACCATCATCTATCAGTTTGCCCTATACTAATATATACGAGAGAAAATATCTCGATCGGTGATGACGAAAGAATATTGCTAAGGAAGTTAAGCATGGCTGCAAGACGCTAGCTAGTCTCCAGTCTGACGAGAGCTGTGACTTTTTTTTTTGCGAATGAGAGCTGTGACTGACACAGGATTATATAGCTCGTTATTGGCCAATTGCTGCTGAACACGCAGAGATAGGGAGGTCGGTGAGATGCATAGATGAGATGTGATACATATAGCTGATGGGTATGTACGTATATCCGCAAATGAAATTCATAGAGAAATATATAGGTGGTGGATTGAAAGAGAGGCCTGTTAAGCCGCTCTCTTGTCGTGCAAAACTAAACAAGAGTGTGAGTACCTCCATCCAAACCTTAAACCAACGAACATCCTATTTACCATGCTCGATCATCGATCATTCAAGCAAGCTCTCTCATTCACTACTTAGTTCTTTTGGCTACTAGCTTTTTCCTCGATCGCTCCAGCTAATGGAGAAGTCCAGGGCGAGGCCATCTAGGGGCCACTGGCGGCCCGGTGAGGACGACAAGCTGCGGCAGCTCGTCGACAAGTACGGCCCGCAGAATTGGAACTCCATTGCTGAGAATCTGGAGGGGAGATCAGGTAGGTAGCTAGCTAGCCTTCTCTGATTGTTTCTCCTCCGTTTTCTGACGAAGCATATATACTTCATCATGCATGTACATGAACAAAAGTTTGCTCACCATGACTTGCACAGCAGATTTGTTTTTTTAATTAATCTTGTATATTTGCTTTGTTCCTTCTCGTTCGTTTAGGCTTTTGCCAATTTTAGTTCTAGCATCATCGTTATAGATGGAGTGCCAACAAAAGTGGGATCGATATTCATCATCACTCATATATTATTCGTACATCACTATATGTGGAGATCGAATATTTAAGTTGATTTATAAATGAGTGGTACGGTACACTAGATATATATATATATCGAATGAATGTCACCTTGGTTCATTTCAAGTTCATGAGGCATCCATCCATCTTTGCCTGCGCTACTTTTCAATCTTTGTTTCTTCTCTTTTCATCATGTGCCATGCACCACATGTTGGAGCTGCAGAAAAATATGTATAATATGTAATCATTATTTTAGTATCATATATACTTCGTACTCATCGTTTGTTGATTAATTATGCATCCATGACCCGTCCATGCATATACTCTCTATAAACTATCACAAAGACTGCATCAGTAAATATATATAGTACTAGCTTTTTCTTGCATGCGCATCCAATTTTTCCATTTCAGATGAACGTTGAGTCGGAAACAATATAATCTGTAACGGACGTGAACGCTACTGACTGATTCGTTTATGCATGGCAATGGCACGGATGGACGTATGTAGGCAAGAGCTGCCGGCTCCGGTGGTTCAACCAGCTGGACCCGCGGATCAACCGGCGGCCCTTCACGGCGGCGGAGGAGGAGCTGCTCCTGCAGGCGCACCGCGCCCACGGCAACCGCTGGGCGCTCATCTGCCGCCTCTTCCCGGGCCGCACAGACAACGCCGTCAAGAACCACTGGCACGTCGTCATGGCGCGCCGCCGCCGCCACCACCACCGCTCCGGCGGTACCCTCATAGGCGAGGCCACCACCGGCGCTCTGCCTCGTCATCAGCCGTCGTTTCAGTACTTCCATTTTGGAAGCTGCTGCCCGCCGGCGACGAAGACGACCACCACCCGCTCGCTGTGCTTCGCGGTGCCTGCAGGTTCCGGGCCGCTCGGCCTCAGCAGCCCAGCTGGAACGTACGGTGTCATCAGGAACTGCAACGTGCCTACTGCCGCCGATGCCGTCGCATTATTAGACGGCCATCGCCATGACATGAGCAAAGACGACCTTGGTGGCGACTATGACAATGGCGGTGCGGTTGCAAAGAGGAAGGAGAAGGACGTGCAATTCTTCGACTTCTTGGGCGTCGGGATCTGATGAAGCAAAATAATGATGGTATGGTAGTATAGTACATTTGAACGAAATAATACACACACACACACACACACACTGCTATATATTAGCGAGGATGTTACCTACAGTAGGCAATTGGGTGTTGGTGGAATGATGGAATCACAGGAACAAGAATGGGCATTCCTGAGAGTACCGTCTCACTCTCTCGACACCATACGCTCCTGACATGTGCTACGGGTCCCACGTGTCAGTGGCATAAATGACATGGCAAAAATGGTGTGAAGACAAACAATTGTAAAGCTTTCTGTACAATTTATAAGAGATAGTTCCGCCGACACTTCTTCCCAAACTTCTTATTAGTTTCAGAATGCAGAAAAATACATGTTTTAGTTTTGCTCTAAGTGAAAAAAAATTCTTCTTATTATGACCAATAAAGGAAAAACAACAGGAGAGGAAAAATCGGTTGATGGTGTGCAATAGATAACTGACGCCGGAGTGATTTTAGATTTCCCACTGTATAAGGTCCCGTTTGGTAGCGCTCCTAGAGCAGGTCCATGTCGCCATCAACCAAATGAGCTTGAGGGACAACACTATGCTTCGCTTTGCTCCGGATTCATGCTCACCGGAGACAGAAGCAACCGCGGAAACAAAAACAAAGTGGCTTCATCTGCCTCCTTTGTCCATGCACATAGGCCCTCCCCGAAACATAGGACGGACGGCGGTCAAAGCATGAGGCATAGACATCGGGGTGCTAGGCATAGCGAGAAGAGGTGGAGTCGAGCAGGTGGCATGAATGAGGTGGAGACGAGGGTGGCGGCGTGTGTGGGGGTTGGGGATGGGAGGCGGAGGTTAGGGATGCAACTTGGCCGAGGTGGAGGCGAGAGAGAGGAAGGAAATAAAGAATGAAAGTAACTAGAAAAGAAAAAGGAATGGCATTATGGATATTTTATCCTTTTTTATCTATCATGAGAAGTTAACAAAACATTTTTCTAGAGGAGTTATCTAGAGCTAAAGAAAACTACTCCACCAAAGGGTCTAGAGTCAGAGCAGTTTTAGTTGGAACCAGAGCTCTACCAAACACAATCTAAATTTGTTTAAATTCAGAAAAGTTTCACTAAGACAAATGAAACTACCTTCATTTTATACAACATAGGGGTAGGCATGTTTCTTCATGCTACTATCATCGCATCATATTTCAGGCCAATAATGATATCCGGTTGCGATATTGATCCGGAATTGCACATGTTTCCATGTTTGCACTATGCTAAGGTTCTGTTTTTTTTGACACGTATGCTAAAGTTCTGTTTGGATCACAGGAGCTATATACAAATAGGTCTAGGTAATGATTTATCTAACAGTTAGCTGAATACCCAACTAATAACTATTTCACTAGTCGGACGAAACTAGCTAACTACTATTAGTAGCTAATGGATCCAAATAGAGCCTTAGATGGATGTATAACATGTTTTTGGCTCATCACGATATCGATTGAAACGGATTAGAACCGATGACTCGTACTAAATTAAGAACTTGAGGCAATTTACATTAAAATAAAAACAACTTCAAATAATGTAAGTACTCTCTCCGTTCCAAATTATAAGTCGCTTTGACTTATTTGGTACATCTATTTTCCTATGTATCTAGATATAATAATATATCTAGATACGTAGCAAAATGGATGAACCAAAGAAGTCAAAGCGACTTATAATTTGGAACAGAGAGAGTAGAATGCTATATATATCAAGTGGTGGCTCCAGATAATAGGAAACATATGTAGCAAAATATGACACTAAATAAAAGTGGAATGGAGTTGGAGTAGGTCTCTGAAAGTCACAGGCCTCCATGCATGCCACCTAAGCAAGCAATAATACCTCCCTTAAGATCTGCATACCCAAGGGTCACCCGCCACGTGTCACACGGGACCATCGCCATTTGGATAATGTGTGCCACGTGTGCAAAGCCCAGCCAATGGGATGGAAGCAGCCTCACCCTATCCACACGCCCACCACCACAACCACAACCCTCGCCAGCGTCAGTTCCCCTCCACCGCGCCTGCAGCCACCCACGATCAAAAACAAAACCATCCTCACTCTCCCTACTGCCAGCCAACCAAGCTCCAAGCACGCACAGCCAGTCAGCCACACCACATACACCAAGTCATGGCCGGCGTGAACTCCAGCGTCGTCGGGCTCAAGCCCGCCGCGGCAGTACCCCAGGCCGCCGCCGCCTCGTCGCCGGCGAAGCGGGTGCAGCTGGTCGCGCCCGAGGGCCGCCGCGCCGCGCTGCTCGGCCTGGCGGCCGTGTTCGCCGTCACCGCCACCACCGGATCGGCCAAGGCCGGGATCATCGATGAGTACCTTGAGAAGAGCAAGGCCAACAAGGTCAGTCAGTTTTGTGTGTATATTTGTCAGAGTTGTTTGCTTGTTTCAGTGCATGTGAAACCTGACAGGATATTTTTTGCTGCGATCGATCAGGAGCTGAACGACAAGAAGAGGCTGGCCACCAGCGGCGCCAACTTTGCGCGCGCCTACACTGTCGAGTTCGGCAGCTGCACGTTCCCCTACAACTTCACTGGGTGCCAGGACCTCGCCAAGCAGAAGGTTGTTCATTCTCATCACACTCATAAGAAACCTCACCTGATAATAATCTGAATTGATTTCTTCTCATCCTGTGCCATATCATGTGTGTCCGTGCTTGATTGTGTTCTTGCAGAAAGTGCCCTTCATCACCGACGACCTCGAGATTGAGTGCGAGGGGAAGGAGAAGTTCAAGTGCGGCTCCAACGTTTTCTGGAAGTGGGGTGAAGCTAAATGAGGTGGAGACCTGGTGTACATGTACGTGTGTACCTAGATGTGCGCCCAAACTGCAGGAAAAATTTGGATGTGTAATTGTGGTCATTGTATTTGTGTCATCTCAACATCTGATCATCATGAACCTCTTGCATTAATTGGGGAGAGTGAATTATAGTATTTTGTCCTTGATGGCCCTTCTCATTTCATCGGCGCTTATGAGTTTTCCCTACAAAACGAGCTAGGTTCTTTATAACACGACGCAGGAATCTGCTTTGTTCTAGAGGTTCTTCTTATTAAGATGATGCTTATTGGTCATGATTAATGTGATGGACAGGGTCAAGTCCTATTATTCTTGAAAAATATAAAATAAAATTTTAGTCTCTATAACAAGCCGGCATATGAGCAAAAGATAATTTGGAAAAACATGGATGCGCAGTGCTAAGAAAGTAGATGTAAAAAACATGAATAACAACAACAACAACAACAAAGAAGAAAAGTAATAGTCGTAATATATAATAATAGCAGCAGCAATGTAGTACTAGTAGTAATAATAGTAGTAGTAATAAAAATATCCTAAGACAATTAAGAAATATATAAATATTTTTATTCTTTAGACACTAGAAGTATACCCCGCGTGTTGCTGCGCGGGATACTCTTAGAAATATTTTGTATATGACACCTTGCGCATTGCAACATTATTTTCTTAGAAATAAAATTGTTGCGTTATGGAAGAATATAATAAAAATGTATTAGAATATTATATCAAATTATAGGAAAACGTAACGGTCAAACAAATATTATGATATCCATATGCCATGTATATATTGATATATATATATATATATATATATATATATATATATTGAAAATAGTAATTATACTTAAAATGAGTTTGCACTTAGTGGGAATCGATTGGTAGCCTCTAGTGAAATAGTATAAATTGCACAGTTTAATAAAAAAATAGTATAAATTGCACAGTTTAATAGAAAGTTACGCGATAAGAATCTGCAAGGAAAAGATTGTCACCTATATGAATAGTTGAGGTAATTAGAGTAAGGCAGTAAGCAGCACGGACCACAAACATCAGAATATTAGTAAGCTTGTGCTTAGTAGAATAAATAATACGGAACAATTCGCTGCATGCTACATCCAATTCTGACGATCTGCTAGCTAGCCTGCGGTGCTAATCGAAGTCAGTCTACTCCCCCGTCTCGGCTGGCTCTCTATTCTCTATGGTTGGTCTCCATTTCTTCGACCTTCGAGCATGTTTCTTCTGCTCGTGCAGCTCCTTCTGGACTCCGTCGCCACTGGTGACTTGGTGAGCGGCGAGCAGCTACAGGCGGCAGGGGAAGACGCCCCACTCACCATGGCCGCAGAGCATGCGCGTACCGCGCGGATGGGAGAGGAAGAAACAGGTGATGACAGTTTCTTAGACCTTAATGATATCAATCAATAGATTTGTTGGGCACGTGAAGAGGTAGGACCGGAGACGATCGGACATCGTGCATGCAGGGTTGAGTGGATGGAAAAATTACTGGCGTGATCACTGGAGGACAACATGCATGGCTTGAAGGAAGTGGGTGGTGTGGCTTAAGGATATGCTAGAGAAATAAGTTAGTGGGGTTTTGCGTGATCACCGGAGGAGAACAAGCGTGGCTTGAAGGAAGTGGATAACATGGCTTAAGGATATGCTAGAGAAATAAGCTAGTGGCCGGGGTTTTGCTTTATAAGAGTATATGATATCCAATTAGCTAACCAATGGCTCAATTGGTAAAGTTCTAATATGTTAAAAACTATACACCTAGGTCTGACTCCTAAACTTAATATGGATGGTCGTGAGGCAGCAAATCGACGTTGAAAGTGAACCATGATAACCATTTCCAAAAATCCTAAAATCAGGCCAAAAACAGCAAAAGAAAATTGTGGGAAGTAAGAAGTCTTACGAGTGGCTTGCGTGTAGCTCAACTAACCAATCCACCCCAAAGTTGAGTGGATGATATTTTCCTTTTTATTGACTTTTCTAGATATTGTAATGAATATTTAAGGCTCTAAACAAATTCAAAAATGAAAAAAGAATCAATTGAAAAGTTTTAGATCTCACCGAGATCTACAACTTTGATTCCAGTCATTTTCCCTTCCGAAATCGTTTGAAAGAAACACTATGCCACTATGAATTTTTAGGGGCGGCTCCAGGGCATTTGTAGCAACGTGTTCGGGTTATGATCTCCGGGT